GTATATGTGAGGGGCAAATATATATTAGTGTCATGAGGTTTTCCTAAGCATCTGAGCAGGACATCAATGTGGCCTCTAAGAAATTATTCCAGAGACTGAAAGAGCAAGATACACAGCTGGCAGAAGGACGGCATAACCCAACTGCCTTCATGGATTGCTCCAATTTACTGGCCCATAGCATTTACTGCTATTATTGCTACAACTAAGCATGCCTCTCTCTTGCACAGCATTTTCTTCCACAGATCTACAAGTGCTCAATAAAGGAAGCTACCAATATCCCCATTTTACAGGTAGGGAAACAGAGGCAGAAAGAGGGAAGCGACTTTCCCAGCAAATCAGTGGTAGAAACAGCACCCAGAACTGAGCCCCAATCCTATGTCTTGTCCAGCAGGTCACTCACCTTGCCAGATATAGAAAAAAACCCAAGGGCTAATCTAACCTTAATGAGATTTGGACCTCATGTTCAAACTGCCAGGATACTCCTAGTCGCTATTAGTCTGGGTAGACCTCTACCACAAGGGCCACCTCAGATCTGCGTACAGATCTGATAATGAGGATTACCCTCTTGTAGTGGTATTAGATCCTGGATTCTGTTTTAAAGCAAGCAATAGGGCAGATGCATAATAGGTCTGCTCCGCACCCTGGGCAGAGGCGGCTTCCAGCTGCTGGTGGCAGTAGTGCGGACAGCTGGCAGCAATGGCAAGTAGTATCCACGATGCAGCATTCATCAAACTCTTCTCAGATCTGGCGATCTAATTGTGATGCCACAATTACAAGTAGACAGACTCAAAGTCAGAATTAAATGAAGGCAGAGCTAAAGTCTTGCCAAGCACATAATTAATACCCTGTAATTTGTTAATATTAAAGTGAGGATAAATAGGTCCAATTTTTGTGGGTTTTTTAATATGCTGGCTGCAATATTAAATAGTAAATTCTCCTGTGGATTCCCCACTCCCTCCGACCCATTGAGTCCAAGCTGAAAATGCTCTTTGGGCAAGTCTAAACTAGAGTATCATCCCACCATCCAATGCTATACTCCTAATACTACTGCAGCAGCTGTTACTTTTGCACCCTCCCTCCCCATCCCACCTACCTCCTTTACCCCCCAGACTGGCACCTGCAACTGCCTGGGTCATCCCCCAGTTACATTACTGTGATAGGGAATAATTAGCATTTCAGCAAAACCTCACCCAGCTATGTACAGCAGTCTCTGTGGGAACCAGAGCCAGTCAGCACATTACACAATCTGGCTTCTATCAAGCAAACACAGAGCTTTCAATCCAGACTAAACACTCAAGTATTAAGACCCTAAATTCTTGAGAATGCCACCAAACAAAGAGTACAAAACACTGTTTCCCCTTTGGAGCAGTACACACCATGCATATTTCAAGTCTGACGCAACAGGCTACCTGAGTTTTACAAAGGCTGCATTAAATGCTCACCCATTCATTTACACTGAAAGCATTGCCATGACATATGTCACCACTGCCTAGTGAGACCTGAATATATTAGGATAGAAGTCTCTTGCTGATTCATTCTTTAATATGCCATTTTAATTAGGCTGGAACTGTTCAGTAAAGGGTTTAGAAACTTAATTCAACATCCGCTTATGTCAGGAGTAGGATTCTAGGTTTGATTTTCTAAACCTCTCAGCTAAGGGATCTAGAATCTCAAAGAAATGTCTATACCTTTCAATATCATAGAGAGAAAATTCCCACATGCAAATTCTCAAAAATTAAAAATAGCGTAACTTACAAATAATGGCCTGATTCAGAAGTTGGCAGCCTATAGCCCACAGGCCAGATCCAGCCCACCAAGACATTTCAGCCAGCACACAAAGCCTGGATATCAATGGCATTTCAGCAACAGGGGGATTTCAAAGAGATCAAGTGATAACCTGGTAAAAAGCACCAACCTGTATTGGACTGAGTTGCATTATTTCATCCCACTGCTCCTAAAAGGTTTCTGACCCCTGCCTTAATTAGTAGGTTGTTTTATTTTTGACAATGATGGTTTTTGAACAATGATATTGTTCACAACGATGGACCTGATTGATACAACGTGGCTAGTAAAAGTACCATATTTTTGCGTGATTTCTTATATAAAGTCAAAATAAGTGGGTCCTTGTTTTGATGCAGTGTTAAGGAAAGGTGTCCATGAAAAAGCTTCTTTATAAGAAAAAATAATTAGGAAAGCTAGATCTTTATTTTAGCTGATACATACAACTGTTGCCCCCACCACTACAGTTTGGCACTTCTGTGAAGCCAATGGCCTGCTTGCATACACTCAAAGCCTGTCTCAAAGTCATGGGAAAAATTCTCAGTGACTTCAGTAGGCTCTAACAGCCCAAGTGATGTTGAAAAGGGGAAAGAAAGATTGTAACAGCTAATCCAGAATTCAGGCTGCAACTCTCTACCCTGTCCCAGCCTGATTCAAGGACTTTATACCCTCCACACTTCCATAGGTCAAAGATCCTGAATGACTGGGTCTTCAGCACGGAAAAATAATTTAGATTACAAGGAGCCAGGGGCATGAGCCCACAGTCCATGTCTGCACCATGGCCTGCCCCTGGCTTCAGACGCACATCACTGCCTGAATACAGCCCATGCAGCTGCATGCTCCCAGCTCCATGCCACTGCCCAACCAGAGATCTGTGCCACTGCATGGCCCTGCTCCATGCCCCTGGACCCACACTGCCCTGATGCAGCTGCACTTCCCTGGTCCAACACTGACCCAAACTGCCACCCAAATGCAGCCCCATAGATCCAGCCTGGGAGGAGCCTGTGGCATCTGGATGCAGCCTGGGGCCCAGGGTGAGTTTGACACCCCTGTGATATAGACGTGATCATTTTTTCTTCACACAATGACAGTGACAGATCCATTGTGCAACACAGTAAGCAGAGTAAAGCATTTCTGACCTGCATAGACCTTGATCCTGAAAAGACTTCTGCATGCATTTGACTCTGATGTCAGTGCACTGCAAGTAGTTTGAATGAACAGAACATTGAGCCCCAGTTCTGCAAATGATTACTCACATACATGCTTAACTTGGTGCACTGTTCGCTGTCCCGCTGACTTCAAAGGGGACAAAAAAAATTCAGAATGTACTGAAGACTTTGCAGGATCACAGCCCTGATTTACATGGTATTGTATGGGAAATTATTTTAACCACATTCGACCAAAATCTGAAGGCACGGGGGTCCTGTGTGTTATTTAAAAAGAGGGAAAACTGGAGTGCTTTTATAACATTGAAAGCTTTATATAAAACTGAAAAAGGACAAATTTGTGAAGATCAATGGTCTATCGTGGAGATTCATATACAGGGAGTGGCATCATAAAGATCACTAACCTAATGCAGCAGGATTCTTGTATCACAAATAATGATACAGTGTCAGATCCACCCACCTTAATGTATACACAGTATATATGAACACTGATAGTAAATCAGTGGGATAGTTTTTGCAGTAAGGCCCAAATCCTGAAACAATCTGCACATGTGCTTAGCTATATCTACTGCAGGTAGCTCCAATGATGTCAATGGGGCAACGCTCAGTGTGTAAAGTAAAGCACATGAATGAATTGCGGCTTTAAGATGCCACTCTACCTGAGAATCTGACTTGCAATACTTAGATGTACTCAAAAGTACCTCTTCTGTGCACTTTTGTGCCAAGTCTCTACCTTTCCTATTAAAACATTATACTGTGGATTGTGCAGAAATGGTAGTAAACACATTAGAAACCCATGACAGACATAGCTATAGATTCATTTTCTACAATGTACTATATCAAAATATTTTAAAAATCAAGCCCATACAATAGTCTGCATAAAATCTGCTGGTACCTCATGGTATCTGAGACTCCACAGTTTATCCCTTACTCCAAGAGAGCCTACCCCCTGTTTGGCAGGCATTAGCTGACACCAACTTTAATGGTGACCATTGTAAAATTACAGTATCAGCACTGCAGTTACAAAGCACACATCACCCAGTGATGATCCTACCTGATATTCTGGAAGAAACACTAAATATTTCAAGAAAATGTTGTCTGTGTGCTTCAGTCTTTCCAATAAAAAAGATTCACAGCAGACGGATTTAGCACACGTGTTAAATTACTGAATATACCATCAGGTTTCAATTAGCTCAATTAATCCACTTCCTAAGAAAGATTTATTCTGTGACCCAGCTTTCACAGCATAAGTCTATTGCTAAAGAGGCCTCAATCCCTGAATTACCGGTACCAAAAGCCGGATGTGTAATGTTAACACTCAAATATCAAATGGTTCTCATGGAAAACATGCAGTTAGGTAAAGCGGGCAGGAAAAAAGCAGGTGGCATCAGGGAAGCCACTCATCAATTAGATTTGGTAGGACAAGAAGTGAGGCCATCCAAATGTGAAGCATCAAGTCAGCCGCAGGTCAGTCATTCAGTCCCAGCCAACAGACTGTATTCCTGAAACATTATAACCCTCAAGCAAAACGAGTCCCAAGGCTTGATTTAAGTCTTTTACTACCTTCCTGGTGAAGAACAGCAGTGTTCGTTCCAAGACGGACTTGCAAAAGGAGACGGCCTCCTCTGCACGCAGCCTGGGCAAGGCTTTCTGGAGACGGAGGCACTTGTGCTGGGATCCCCCTGAAGAGTCTCTCTGGCTCCTCAACAGGGGACCAAAAAATGAGCCCAGCCAGGTTTTGGGCTCAAACTACTTTCCACCCTTCAAGGCAGCTGAGGCTGCTCTTAAATCCCTGCTCCCTCTGCTGCTCCCCAGGTGCTGGCCTCTGCACCCGTGGAGGTTTTGAAGGCCCTGCTGCACAAAGCCCTGCCTGGGATGATCTAGTTGGGGCTGGTCCTGGGCAGGGGGGGTGCACTAGAGGTCCCTTCACAACCCTCCTTTCCTATGACGCTGTGACTAAACGAGCCTGGCTCCCTCGTCCGGCGCCCCGCGGAGCCCTACCCACCACCGCTGGACTCTGCCCCACGTGCCGCATCCAGATGTGCCCCCCCTTACCTGACCAACGGCTCCTTCTCGGGCAGCGCCGCCTCGGTCGCGCACTCGCGGCAGCGGCAGCAGCAGCAGCACAGGGCGCCCAGCCAGTCCCGCAGGCCCATGGGAAGCCGCGGGCTCGAGCCCTTGCGGCGGCGCCCAGCCCTTCGCC